TTGAATTTCCGGTTGTGAACTACGTATTGTGACCTTTCACACCTAAACAAACTCAGTGCGCATGTGTGATGACCGTAGTTTCATAATGCGCATATATTTTATAGTCACATTAATGGTGGGGTTGTATCATACTCCGCTAACTCGTTACGTGCTTTGTTCTTTGCCCTGACTTTTTCTTCTAGATGACAGTGATCGCAGATTGCTACGATAAGATGAACACTTACAGCATCTCTTCCTGTCTGTTACCAGGATGCAATCAACTGATCGAATAGTTGAATTATAAATAGTTCCATCCCCAGCTTTTGCATTGTAATCTTCCTCAATATAGGCAGATACTTCTTTTTCTCCAGCAAATGAAACAGATTTTACAATCTCTCCACCTCGACTCTGAACCAAATCAATGAATGCCTGGTCTGTGTTTCCCATGCATATATTGCGCTGATTTACCAAAGTAATAAGCTGGGTGATGACTGACAAGTCTGTTATAGTTTGTGGTACATGTTCAAATATATCATGACCACTTGTGACATCTCTTGCATGGATCAGTACACGCCATGTTCAATTTCCATCAACCATTACACATCTTGAAACCTTTGAGACATCCCCGATGAACTCTACTTTGCTAAACTGAAATTCTCAGCACGAGCTAAGCAGTGGCCAACTTAAAGGTAGTGAGACTTCATTGACATGTTGTTTCAAATATGAAAAGGAGAATGATTCAGGTTCTCTGAAGCAAACATCTTCCCGAGAAACAGTAAAAAATAGTAAAAAAGGATGTAATCCAGTTCACACAATTATGACTAGCATTATGACCAACTGAACATAGTGAAAAATAATTAATCTATTAATATAAAATGAAAAATTAAAGCCCAAACATTAAAATGTTGAAAGACGTTGTATTATGCAACATGCTATTCAAAATTCGAATTCAAATTCTTATACACTACATTCACACTATTAATAAAAACAAATTTATTCAATGTATTCCACATATTGATGAATTGTGAGTTTCTTCAACCTGGATAATTTTATACTTTTATTCCGAATGAATATCTTATCCTTCAGCTACATTTATATACTGAAAAAACATTGCCAGTTTTACTTTGCTTACCTTGTTTTGGTGATTATGATACCATCTTCAGTGCTCAATTTTTCTAGTTTCTTTCTTTCGTCTAACTTCCTGTAATGCTTTTTAGGACGGGCCCACTTATTTGTACACTGTAAATCTTGAAAGCACTTCCATGTTTTTTATTAAAACACATCGTTTTAATTGAAAATACACTGTTTTAATTAAAAACATGTGTACTATATAATAAAACACCTGTATTTTCTATCAAAACACTAGTGTTTTAGTAATTTTAGAAAAGTGTTTTAGGAAGTTATTAAAACACTTTTTGATGAAAATTAAGCACGTTGTAAACACACACAAAAATACACTTTTTTCAAAAGAAAACACTAGGTGTTTTACAGGGATATCAATGTGTTATTGTAGTCTTTATTGATAGAACATTTATGGATTAATGCATCCAATCGTATGCAGGGAATATTAACAAAATTGAGTGAAAAGTCAGAGGACTCATGAGTAAACATTACGGTATATATGCCAACTTGACAATCACCAAAAGTGACGTAAAACTTTATTAATGGGGTAAGTGATGACATTACCTCCGGAAAATAATTTTATGTCAAGCAACAACCTATATGGTCTTACCAACTAGAAGTTGAGACACATGGTGAATTAAGTACTTCGTGTTCTAACGAGTCAGAATCAGATTTGAATATGTTCAATTTGAAACACTTGCAAAGCAAAATCAAACGATGTTTCAACCCGATACTCCAAATTAAAAATGTTTCGCCAAGTGTTAATGAATAAGACACAAGAGAGTAAAACAAAACAAAAAACACTTTTCTTCCAAATTGTTAGATCGTTTTATCTTGAAGCACTTCCTAAAACAAACACACATGAAATGTTTCAAGGTAAAACACTCGACTAGGCATGTTTCATAAGTGTTTATGTATACGACATGTACACAATTTCATCAGTGTATTGAAACACTTTTCTTACAAATCGTTTTATCTTCAAGCACTTCCTAAAACAAACACACATGTAATGTTTCAAGGTGAAACACTCGACTAGGCATGTCTTATAAGTGTTTGCGTATATGACATGGTACAAACGTTCATGAGAGTAACTAAGACACTTTTCTTTGAAACTGTTTTATTTTGAAGTGCTTCAGAAAACAAACACACGTGTAATGTTTCAAGGTGAAACACTCGACTAGGCATGTTTTATAAGTGTTTACGTATATGACATGGTACAAACGTTCATGAGAGTAACTAAGACACTTTTCTTTGAAACTGTTTTATTTTGAAGCACTTCAGAAAACAAATACACATGTAATGTTTCAAGATAAAACACCGGACTATATAAAGTGTTCATACACAGGACACCTTTGTACACTGTTTTACACCGTTTTTACCGTTTTGTGTTTTTTTACTATAAAACACCTTTTTTCGATCAAAACAGTGGTGATGAAAGTTAAGCACATTGTAAACACACAAAATACACTTTTGCCCAATAAAATACTGAGTGTTTTACGGCGATATAAATGTGTCATTACTGTGTTTATTGATAGGACATTTTTAGAATAATGCAACCAATTTTATATGCCAACATTACTAACAAAATTGTGATTTTAAACAATAGTCTGGGACTTGATCTAGGAACTCGTAAGTAAATATTATGATGTATATGCCATTGACCTAACTAGAAGATCGGGAAACAGTTTAGGGTGTTCCAACTTCTATCAGGGGGAAATTCTTTTCCACGGGGTTCTCCACACGTGTCAGGGGGGAATCTCGTCTCGTCTCTCTATCTCGTCCCCTTGAGGTACGGGATCGGGAATGTCACTTATACTTTACAGTCAAATAAGACACACACAACGAAATACGTTTCAGCTCTCGTCTTAGTCGGTCAATCGAGCACTCTATAAGACACAGCGCCCTGGGGAAAAGTCCCTAAGACTGTCGCAAGGCTGAACCAAGACTCGCCCAAGACTG